CGCGCGAACGCAGCCTACTGTGTAATATGCATTTCTCCATGGTACATGTACGTGCACTTGTGCGCACGCGGAAAGTATGTACATACATGTAATTAAGTCAAACTAAATTTTGTAAAAAATGTAAATTTTTTTCCTGAAGTGCTGTTGTTTTTTAAAAAAACGAATTTTTGCAGAATTTTGCCAATTTTTCAAAATCGTTCGTCCAGACGATCTTTGGAAAATGCAATTCGCACATGCACATTACCTCTCCACAGTCAGTTGACTCTGTTTTAAAAAATTGTGAATCATGCTTGCTCGTTGCAAGAGCCTACCAATATGTTTTCATTCCTCCGTGCGATATATGAGCAAGTAACATTAAAAACATCCGTGAACTCGCTTTTTGGCGGCACAACTCAAACACATTGTAAACTGTCAAAATTCATCTAGAGTTGAAATTGGTGACCTCAAGAAGAATTTCAATTCATTTTAAGAGATTATTTCAGACTGGAAAAGTGCTAGCACTGGCAAAACAGTACACTGTCTTATAATAACCCCTTCAAAGATAATGTTATAACCCAAACCAGTAAACACGGCCGCTTGTTTTCGAGGTCCGCTCCGACAGCCGTGTTTAACTTGCAATTTCCAGATATTTATTTTCCTGTTTATGCAAATGATCTCTATGTCAATAATACATGAGTATTTGCCTCATTTTTTGATTGGATTGTGGTTTTTTACGTGCAACAACTGGCCAGTGACTATGCAACGAGGCAGAGTGCCTTTTTATGTGCAGTAAAGAAACTGCACAATGACTGTACAAGGTGCAAGCTTATCGAGGTGCCGTGACTCGCAATTCGGTCACTGTGCAGCTGTATGATCAAGCGTTGTTCATATTTCGAATCCACGCCACATCATTATATTTTCAAAAGAAGAGAGTTTAACTTCAAAATAAATTTGTCGAGTTCGATCCTCGAACTGAATGAATGGGTTCAAATTTCTGTCAGAGAACTGCCAATCCTGATCTCCACTGCCTTACAGGTGAATCTGTTACAACGTCCTGTGGTCCGATGGTTAATGGATTTTTGCTAGAAAATTTACAGGAGCAGCTCCTTGAACTCCAAAAACAATCATCATTTTTTAGATTTTTTTTTGAAAAAGTTAAATCAAAATGTGAAATAAATCAATGGATTGGTACTAACAGTAAATAACAATCACCCAAAAACCAAAATTCGCTAATTTCTAAATATTACTGCAAATGCAAATCTGACACACCCCCTCAAAACACCCCCTCTGCATTTTACGAATTTCGAGCGTTACGTGGACTAAATTGCCGAACAAGTTACAAGTCGGCAAATTGACCCTGGCACACACCCCCAAAGAAAATGCCTTTGCTATGCCGCTGTCAGTTGTGTTCTGTTGTGCACAAGGATACTTTGTCGTGTTTCACTGAGCATAAAATGCTTACATGTATACATGTGCCGGTACACCTTACATGTACATGTATACAACATGTGCATGTACGCAGGCTGTACAATGTCAAATTCTAATCATCGGGCAAGAGTTCTTTTATACCCTTGCTGCCCAGGTAAGTGGTATCCCTCCCTAATTACACAAACTCCAACACCTTGAAATCAAACTCCTACCTTACAGTCAATCACACAGACTCTAACAGGTCTTTACCAGTGTGATTTTCCGTGTGC